AGGCTGGGGCTGCACCGGAGCCTCCACCCGGGAGCCGAGCCCCTATCCTGGCGCGCCCGGGGGACCCTCTCCAGGTTCCCCGTGGAGTCCCAAAGACACCCCCCAACCCAGCTCCGCCAAGGCTCCCAGGCCCGCCACCCCCGCCGCGTCCCCCGACGGCTCCCCCGCTCTCTGGGGCGGATAATTACGCCCGGCTCGCCTGTTCTCCCTTGTTTAAAGTTTGTTTTCTAAATGTCTTCTATTAGATTATGCTCGTTCATTCCCCCTCCAACCTTATCTCCTTCTGTCTCTTCTCTCCTTGCCCGTCACACTCGATTTAGGCACGAGTTTATCTGGCAAACACTTTGCCGACTTTGTTTATTTACCGCGGGTTCTGGGGCTGCGCGCGCGCGAGCGCCAGTGTTTGCCTTTGTAACAGTTATCTCCTCGTTGTTGTTCTTCGTTAGTCTCCGCTCCCTCCTGCCCCCCTCTTCTTCGGTTGGGGGGATGGAGGGAAGAAAAGGGGGAGCCTTGTCAGCCCAGTGTGGGCTCGCCCCCTCGCCGGGAGCCCCCTCCTCCGGGATGTGGCGCGCCCCGCACCCCTCCCGCCCCATCCCCCGCCTGGGCCGCCGGAGCCTCGCGGCCCCCTCCCTCCTTCCCTCTGGTCTCTGAATATCCACCGCCGAGCGCTGCCTAAAGCCGGGGAATTGCCTGACACCCTCCCATCTTCCTCGGAGCCCCCATTATGCGAAGCTGATCCCACTCTGAACAGCTTCAAATCCCGCCTGGACTCTGTTTGATTAGATTGCCAACCCGGGGTAATCCTTTGATTTGGTGGAGTGTCAATTACCTTTCTCTAAACACACATTTACAGAGGAGAGAACTTGTTGGTTTAAATCAATGCAGATTGCTTCTTGATAAATGGACTATCTGCTTCCCCTCCCTCGCCCCCTCTCCCAAGGCCTCTGCTCCCTCCGGGACCCCTCCCTTTGCCGACTTCACCTAGACCACTGACAATGTCCCTTCCAGGTGTAGAGCCCGGGAGGGGGGGGAAGTGTGGGCTAAGGGGAGCCGGGCCCCCCTTCCCCTATTCATTCGCTCCCCCGGAGCCTAATTAAATTTGGCAGGTCCTTGTACACACAATCAAAACAGCTTCCTCCAGTGTAGCAAACCACCGAAAACCGCATTAGCGCTATCGCTGCTGCCAAATTAAATTGTTTCCCACCTCCCTTTACAAGTGTCTAAAACCCACACTCCGGGCTCTCCCCTCCTTCCCCATCTTCCCCGTCACTTCCCACTCCACACCTGTAAGTTTACAGCCTTAAAAATAAATTAAGGATAAAAGCAAAGAAAAACAAATCTGGCTCACCCCCTCCTGGACCCCCCCCCACACACACACACCTCCCATGATAGTCTTTCAGACCCGGAAAATCTGCAGATTCTCCAAAGGGGATTCTGACTCAGAGTTTTATTCTGGCCACAAGAAAGCAACTCTGGTAACTTTGCTCAGGGTCCAGGTTCACTGTAACGGCGCTGGGCTTCAGGTCCTAGAGGCCAGAGTGGAGCCTGGTGTCAGATCTGGTCTGCTTCGGTTTCAACTTGTGCACTGACAGCTGCCCACAGCTCTAGGTTACTGTTGGTTTCTGTTGCTATTGTTTTTTACATTATTGCTGATTTCTTTACACACACACACACACACACACACACACACACACACAGCCCCCAGCTCCTACAAAGGAAGCGGTTGACCCTTTGCAAGCCCCTATCAGATTCCTCACAAGAATCTCTGAGCTCAGATTCTGGGAATATTTTTTTTCTTCCTCTTTGCTCCTCAGACCTTCTTCCTGTTGGCTCCATGGCTGGCCTGCCTACCCCCTGATCCTTCTGCAGAGGAGAGCATCTAAGTGGACAGGGGTGGGGCGGGGAGGGAGGGATGGTACAGAACTGTCCACCCTCCTCCCCAGGTGAGCAGGGCTTGGCTGGAGCACCCATCGGCAGTGGTCTGAGAATTCATACAACCAACAATCCTAATAACTCAGTCTTAACAAGGATAAGAGCAAAGAAGAAAAAAAAAAAAAAAAAAAACATGAGCAGTCTCATGAATATCAGCCCAAGGGGAGCAGGAGTGAGCTGTTCAGAGATGAAAGTGCACAGAAATAAAAGCTCAATTTAATCTGCTTTAAAACCCTTCAACTTAACGTTTGTGCTTCAAACTCTGAGAGTGAGGACTGATTGCGGATAAATAGTTTCTTACCATGCCTGGAAGCTATTACACCCCTCTCCAACACAGTTTCCTATTCAACAGCCCCAGTTTTCATTACCAGCTCTAATAAGTCTTAACATTATTAAATGCCAAGCGGACGATAGGGAAAAACGGACTCAGGGAGGGATCTCTCTTTAGCGCTTAAAGAAGAGAGCTCTTAAACCCCTTCTTTGGCGGCTCCCTGCCACGAGCGGGGCAACCCCCGGAGAAAGCATTTATCAAGACCAAGAAGCCAAAAAACAAAGTTGTGGGTATGTACCCCTCCCCCTGCTCTGCCCACGGGGCCTCTCGGCCTCTCCTGACCTGGACAGCTTGGGGGGAGGTTGGGAGGTTTTTCTCCCCCCACACACCTTTAACTTGGCCATGACACTGATGTCTAGGGTCTGGGAGGAAGGTGAGGGGTTCATCAGAATGTCTGCTGACCACCCCACACTGGGACAGGTAACTGATACAATTTGTCCAGAGGTGGACAGACGGCGCCTCTCCTCTCGTCTGTGCCATCAAATGCCCATCCACACCCACGGGCGTCACACTGCAGACCCGGCAGAACCCCACTGGCGCAGATACAAGCGCAAGGGCACTCTGATCCCTAGGAACCCTAGGCGGGTGGGTGACAGCCACACGGAGAGAGAAGCAAAGGCTTCCAGACCATCCAGCACAACATCACAGCGCCCCACGCGCCCATCAGGACTCAAAATCCAGAGGGCTTTCTGGACACAGGCCAGCCCCATGAGGTCATCTGGTTTGTGAAGTTCCTCGAGACTCAGCACCTGTGTCCCCAGCCTCCCCCATCTGGAGCCACCAGGCTGCTCTTTAGACCCTGGAGACTCAGCGCTTCCTGGGTCTTTTACAGGGAAAACCTCTCTCCAGCGAAGTGGCCCGCTCCCTGGTTTCGTAAAGCCAGACCAGCTCTGGAAGTGCCCAGGTCCCCTGAGTCACAGACCCCATATGTCCCTTCCCTTCCTCTCCCTTGCCCCTTGCCTTTCTCAGAGAAAATTTACCTATTTGTACTTCCTCACAGGCTGAATTGGAAATACCCCTGACAGACAGACAGGCAGACCCACACCCCGGAAGTCTTTCCAAGTGAGTCCAGACCTCCCTCCACTTCTCGCTGGGATAACTCTGAGAGGTGCTGGGTATGACCACTCCAGTTCCTGTCCCTGACCAGCCATTTTTTCATGTAAAAAAGTCTCCAACTAGTCTTTCCCGTAGGAACTTGAGTCTGCACTGGGTCCCCCGGCAGGGGTCCCAGGGCTGTGCGACAGGCGGTCTGGCCGAGACAGGGGCTCCTTGGCAGAGCTGGGCTGCTCGCTCCGGCAGACCCGAGGCCCCTCGGCCGGCCCAGCACAGCGGGGTGCGAGGCGCTGCTGGCTCCCTTTCTTCCCTCGCCCTTTGTCCCGGGCGGGACTGCGGCTCCACTAGGGGCCCTGAATGTCAATAGCCCGCCCCTTCCCCTGCACAGAGCAGCTCTCACGCGGGGCTGCCCACCCCCCAATCCTTCCCCCTCGGACTAGGCCGGCGGGGGCTGGGCCTCCCTGGCTGGGAGTTGTCTTTGGAAGCGGGCTTTGTCTGTGAAGTTCATCTTCAAGGTTGGGAGGGACTGCGGAGAGCCGGAGAGAGACCTGGGCTGGGAGTGCCCGGGAGGCTGGGAGAGGGGTGCCCCGGCAGAAGCCTCTGGAAGGAAGGAGACTCAACAAAATGGCTCGCCCACTTTTTCAAAAAACCACGCTTTCGCCGGTTCCTAGGACCGCTGTCTCCGATTCTCTCCGCGCGACTCCCTCCCTGCGGGTGTCTGGGGGCCCTTCTTTCCCCAGATCAGTCTTTGTGGCTCTGGGTCTTTGCACTTCTCCCCTCGGCCCCACTCGGTGCACACAGACCCAGTCTCCAAGAGAACCGCGAGGGAGGGGTGAAGGGCAAAGACTTTCCCTTCCTCCTCTCCAAACTTCTCCGTCTGAAACAAAAGCAAGTCCCCTTCCCCGGGCGTGCAGGCGCTTGAAAGATAAAACGCCTTCCTCAGGTCGCGGGGGGGGGGAAAGCTGGGCGCTGTGCTGAGACTGCAGCCCGCGCCCCAGCCTTGCCAAGGGTGGGGAGGGGTGTGTGGCGCCTGGGACCCCCGCCCGGGGACGACATCTGGGAACTTGGCCTCTACTTCGCGCCCCATCCGCGAACGCCAGAGAGGAAAGCACCCTTCCGCCCGCCACTCTGCCCTGGCGACGCGGGACTGAGAGCCAGGCGGCCGCCCTGCCCTGGCTAATTTTTATTGATTGCAGCGGTCAGTCAACTGTCAGGCGGGGTTTCAAGGGACCGTTTAGAGAGCCTGTGCGGGTCTGGTTAACAAATTCATTTAGGGAGCCGCGGGCCAGCTCCTCCTTCCTCGCCCCCCTCCCCGCCTTCCCCAAGTTTCCTATAAATAATTGATCAACAGAGGGTCAAGCAGCCCAAACGCCAGCCCCGAGGACGCGCGTACCCGGGGAGACCCCGCGCGCGCAGGGGCTGCACAGCCGCGGGGCGCTCCTCTCCTCCCCGCAGCCCGGTTGCCTGGCAGAGGAGACGAGGCTCCGCACCCTGCCGCGGCCCGGGGCGCACCGAGGGGGCGCTCTCCGCAAAGCCTGGAAAGCTCCCGGCTGCCCGCCGCCTGCGAGTTTTTCCGCACGAGTTCTGTCCCAGGCGCTGGGGCAGCAGGAGCGAGCCACAGGCCCGCAGGAGGAGCGTGGGAAGGCGCGGGCTCCGCGGTCGACGGGCCCTGGCAGTTTCCTACCTTTGTCGCCCAGAATGCCGTCGATACTGTGTTTGGCCTTCTTCTCGCCATCGTCCTCTTTTTTGTCCCCTTCGTCCTCCTCCTCTTTCTTCCCGAACTTGATTCTGAGCACGCGGCTAATCGAACTCACTAAACCTCAGAAATTCAAAGGCAAAAGAGCAAGTATAAGTTGTTGGGCAAAGGAGAAGTGGGGAACCCCCACCCCACAGCACTCCCCAGGCAGTCAGCATTTGCACCCACTCACAGGGACCCTCAGCACACCTGAGGCACCCACCCAGTGCCTTCCCACACAGTCCCATGTCCCACGTCCCACACGACACACCTCACACCCTAGATGCTGCCCTCCACACCCACTCCTCCTAGACGTGCCCCCAATTCCTGCTGCTGCCTTGCCCAGGCTCAGGTGTGTCCTGGCTTGCACGTCTGAATGCACATGGACACACACCTACTTTCCCTGTTATGGTGGTTTGGGGCCTCTGAATTGGGGACTCACTGGTGGGTGGTGGTAGCCAGAGAATGGTTTTGGATGATTTGGGGAAAGGGGTCCAGGAAATACCGAAGACAGCAACCCTCCTGGGGCAGGTCTCTCCTCTGGGCCACTTCCCGACAGCTCCAAGGGGGCTCCTCTAGGGTAACTTCTGGTCCCCTCTCCCCTCCTCCCCCTTTCTTCCTCCCACCTGCCTGTCGGCCATCCTTTCCTGCCCTACCTCCCTTCTTCCTGCCCTCTCTCCTAACTTGCTTCTCGCTCATCCTCCTTTCTGTTGGATTCACGACTGCTCTCTCTGTCTTCTTGCTCCCTCTTCCTCCCTACTTGGCTTCAAGGTCCCTGGGAACCACCACTCCCCACTCTTTCTCCCCTCCATCCCCACACCCTGAGCCCCGGCCTCTGGCTGGCAGGTTCCCTGGCTCAGCTGCCTTCTCACCTGAGGGCACCGTGCTGCGGTCGCAGTGCCCGTCCTTCAGCAGCCGGTCCCGGATCTCCCAGCTGAACATGCCTGGGTTTTCCCTCTTGTACTCCTCAATCTTTTTCTCCACATCCGGAGTCGCCACCTGCTTCAGAGGTGGAGGTGGGAGAGGAGGAGTGGACAGATGGGGTGGGGGAAGGGAGATACTTTTAATACCAACCTCCCGAGAGCCCCAGGCCAGGCTGGTGGCTCTGGTCACCATGCTCCCCTTCCAAGATTGGCTCTGTTCTTTCAAGAAATTAGTTCCTGGCTCCCAGGATGGCAGCTGGGTAGGGAGCAGGGATAGGTAATAAAATACAACTTAATTAGCACCCCAGGACCTCCCCTCACCATCACAGGAAGGCAGAGATTTCCCCTGGTCTGGGGTAGCGGCAGAGACTTGGGGTAGTTGCAGGGACAATCCAGAGATAGTTTATTAGCCTCAAAGTCAGGGACAACCTAGACCTGTTATTCCCTTCCCTCCCTGAGAAATTCAAATAATGGGGAAATAATGGGGACTTATCTGGGGTTGGGGACACTCCCCACTGCGCTTCCCATGGAGAGCATACAGACACCCCAGTGCCGGTGTAGGACACACAGGAGTAGCACAAGGGGTGTCAGCCAGGGTCCCGGCCGTGGGGAGGCCTGCTGGCAGCCTCTGTGGCAAAGACACTCACTCTGGGCTTGCTGCCGCCGATGGCCCCAGGCCTGATGGACCCAGTCTCCTGGTAGCGGCAGAGAATCTTGGAGACACAGCCATGGGAGACCCGCAGCTGGCGGGAGATGACACAGGGCCGGATGCCATGATGGGCCATCTCCACAATCTTGTGGCGGATGTGGTTAGGCAGGGGTCGCCCGTTGATGAAGACCCCGCCAAGCTGATTGACCCGGCCTTGGCCAAGCGGGGTGGACACTGGAGAGGACAGAGAGAAGAGACCTGGGTGAGGACAGGGAGGAGACGCTGGCTGACTGCACTCGGGGACTCGGAGACTGCTTGAGCCCCAAGATCTCCCCACATTCAGAGCCACTTGGGTAGTCAGAGGTGGGAAGGAACTGTGGTGAAGGAGGACCTGTGGGAGTGGAGGGAGAAGTCATGGCTGCGAGGACCTCCACACAGGCCTTGTGCCCTTACCCTGCCACACCAAAGGATGACACACACCTGGCGAGGAGAGGGACACTGCAAACGAATTAGCCTGGTGGTGCTCTAAAGATCTCTGGGGCACTGGCTGTCTGTCCCCCAGGCCAGGCGTAGGCCACTGGTCTGCCTGCCTCAGAGACGCCAATTACTGATGAGATGTGGCCCATCGGATCCGATCAGTTCCACGATCCCAGGAGACTTGTGACTGATCCACTTTATTGGTGGCTAGAAAGGGCTGGTTGAGTCCGAGCCTCTACAGCTCAGCTTGAGCAGGGACCTGTCCTACCCGTGGCTGAACGGCCCAGGGTCAGTGACACAGTGCTGCAGGAGCTGTCTCCCCAGGCACCTGGCTGTGCCTTGGGGGAGTCCCCTTGTTTCCAATCGCTCTCAAAGTTTTAATTTCGTTTTGGAGCAACTGGGGGACACATCCCACTGCCAGCAAGCTCCAAAACATCCCGCTGGGTCTCAGAAACCCATGCGCGGTCCCTGCAGGCTCTGCTTGAACACAGATGGGCCGCAGTCCCAGTCCCAAGGGTGTGGGTGACTTTGAGAACCAGGAAGGCAGACAGCCCCGCTGTGTTCTGAGGAAGGAGAATGGCAGGCACCGGTCGCCTTAATGCAAAGTCTACACAATTTTCTCACAGAAGGTTGGGGGGCACCCGGTGCACTAATCCGGCCTCGATCCCCCCAATTTGGGGACTCGGCGGCTGCGGAGATCTGGAAGATTAGAACGATTTCACAGCCGCCAGAGTGGAGGGAGCTGTCGGTATAATTGGAAGGGAGGGGGCGAGAAGAGGCTCGGCTGCAGGGTTCTTCCTACCGCCCCCTCCCTCGCTCTCCCGGGGCCCCCCACCTCTCTTTGTAAAAGTAGGTGTCTGAAGCCACCCTCGGATTTAATCAGAAATCGTGCGTCGCCAAGTCAGAGTCACTCGGTCTCCGTGGCGGGATATGCCATTAGCGCTGGAGAGCTCTCGAGCGCCCAACTTTATATTCAAGAGCCTCTTTAGCGACCGGCGCTCGGCTCTTCTCAGTATTCTGCGTCATGTTGGGCAAATATTGTTCTAATCCGCGCCGCGTCCTCAGCCGAGGTCTTACTTGCATTCGCTCCAGGAGAGTGCTGCGGCAAATCCCCGGGCTTGCGCGCCCTCCCGCCTGCGTGGCTGCTCGCGCGCACTTGATCACGGAGCGGCTCTCTTCGCCCCTGTCTAATTCAGGGACCCGGCGCCTTCTCTCGGCCCGAGGGGCCCCCCCCTCCCCGATCGCAGGCTGCCTGCCCGCCCACCCGCTCCCGGCCTTCTCTCGCCTTCCTCCCGCACGAGGGGGCTCGAACAATCGCAGGAAGAGTGATGGAAAAATAAAAGTGGCACACCTCTCTAACTCCTTCCCCAAGACACCCGGGGCTGCCTGCCCCCAGAAGCCAAATGATCCCTGAATGACAGGTTGAAGCTCTTGGTTAGTTCAAAAAGAAAAGAAACAAAAATGAGGGGAAGGGCCTCCGCTCCCAGCCCTGGCCAGCCCTCCCCCCGCCGGGAGCCCTCTCGCCGCCCGTCCTCTTGGCTCTCCACGGCCTCTGGACGTACTTAGGAGGACGCGTTAGAAAATGAGCACTTTCCCCCGGGGGTGCACATTGTGGTGCCCCGCTGGCTGTCTGGAGGTTCACTCCTGGGAGATGTGCCGAGTTCGGGTAGCCCGAGTGGAAAGTTTTGGGGAGAAAACGATCGTTACTATTTAAGATTTCAAATTCATCTGTTGGCAGGTCAAAAAGCAGGAGCGGTGGAGGGCTGCTTCGGAAGCAGCGGATGGCCTTGGTAGGCGCACAGAGCAGCACGCATTGTTGGCATTTCGAAATAAAAGGGATTGGAAGAACATCCCGGTAGCGAAAAGAACAATTCCAAACTGGAGTAGAAAACCCGGAGCCGGTGAGCGCCGGGGGCTGGAAAACTATCAGGAGAGAAGTGTCTGAAATAGTGGGAAGATGGGAGATCCACGGGGACCGGGGTTTACCAGAAGCTGAAATCTACCGGGAGCTCCGCCCTGCGGGGAAAGGCCAGCGGTCCGCGACCTGTGAGGCCGAGGCCGCGGGTCGGTGAAACCCACGCAGAAACGGACAAGTGTCAGCCCCAGAAACTTCCTGGGTCGCGCGCCCCGACTTGGACCCCCACGGGGTGCGGGACCCAGGGCTCCTGCCCCCGCCCCCGCCGCCCCAGGAGATCGCCACCTCCAGGGAGCTCGAGTGGCGGGCGGAGCAGTCAGGCCGGGCAAGCCTGGGCACTCTTACCTTCCAAGGGAAAGCCCGTGCGCGGGTAGTTCTGCCCCGGAGCCGGTCGCATCATCCTGGGTACCGCGCCGGGAAGGGCCGCCATTCTCGCGCGCGCCGGGGACGAATCCAGAGTCGGCAAAAATCGCCTCCCGTCCGCTCCTTTCCCCCGGCTGCGGTCTTTCTTCCCTCCTTCTTCTTCTTCTCCTTTTTTTTTTTTTAACCTCTTCCTCCTCCCTCCACGCACTCCCTACCCCACCCCCCCCCACCCCGGCTGCAGTCGGACACGTCCAGAAGCTGGGGAGGGGGGTGAGGTGGGGGCGGGGGTGGGGGCAGGGAAGGTGGCGACGAGGAAGTTCAAACAAACAAACACTCCAACCCCAAGTCCGCCTCCGCCGGCGGGGCTCGGCCACAAGTTGTGCGCGCGGATGCGCCGGGCAGAGCTGGGCCACCAGGCCCGGCGGCGCAGGGGACAGGACGCGGCCGGATCCCGGGCCCCGGCCTCGGACTGCAGAGCCACTCGCTCCCGCGCTCGGGGCCAAAGTTCCTGAGCCGGGAGGCTGCGGAGCGGATTTCTTTTCCTCTTTATTTATATATTTATGCCCTCGCTCCGGCTCCCTCCCTCCCGCCTCCCGCGCCTTCCTCCACCCCCTGCGCTCGGCTCCCTCGCGCGCGTCCCCGGGCCGACTGGAGGAGGGAGCTAGCGCCTCCTTGGGTCTCGGGAGAGAGGGGTACGGGGAGGAGAAGAGGAAAAGCGAGGGGGCGCGAGCGATCAGCTGGGTAAGTTGTGCAAAAGTGCTCAACTGGAGGAGGAGGAGGAGGAGGAGGAGGAGGAGGAGGAGGAGGAGGAGGCCGACGAGATCTGATAGGTTCGGACTTTTCTTTTATTCATGAGGAGCCAAGGGGGCCAGGACGGAAGGCTGCGGAGGACCAATAACGAAAAGAAATGCCCAACGAATAATTTTTTCTCTTTTCTAATCCCCGGCTCGACCTCCTTTTTGGGGGGAGAATTTGAACTGCCCGTGAAGACAGGGGCAGCGGAGCCCCGGGAGCTGGGGGTGGAAGAAAAGGGGAGGGGGCGACTTTGTCCAAGTGTCTGTCTCCCTTTGATGAATGGGCCGGATCGGCCGGGTCCCCAGCCGCTGGTCGCCTGCCGCTGCTTGCTGTGGCCCTGGCTCTGTGGAAACACAGCCCCGGGTTGGGCGTTTCTCTGGATGGTCCCCTTCACCCCGGCCCCACTGGGTAGAGCCCCTGTGTCTCGCGTCGTCGTCTTCCTCATCTTACACGCCCTGAAATTTCCTCGAGTTGGACTAGTGGAAAACAGCCCGGTGACATCAAGGGAGGATTACGACTGTGAAATAATGTCAGAGCCCTGGTGTCCGGTGGCTCTCCTCTGGCTTCCTGGAGCTCCAAGAAGCCCAGAGTGACTGTATCTGGTTTAATGCTTGGAAAACTGGGTCTGCCCAGAGTTAGGGACGCGTCTCTTCCTCTCCAACCCCGCCCTGGGCCGAGGGGCTGGGAGGACCCACCCTCCTCCTTAAACCCCCAGGCCACAACCCCAGGTCCTCTTTACAGGGGGTGGTTGGGTGTCCCCAGGCTGTGCAGTGTGGCTGTGCTGAGGATCTGGGACTCCAAAGGCATGGGATATGGGGGGAGGGAGCGTTAGAACTTGGTACCAACTCTGAGCTCCTCTGCTGGGGGGCTGAGGGAGGCCCAGTTAGAAGGTCCAGAGTTAGGAGGGGTGGCCAGAGGTCCCACAGTTCTGCACTCTCTGAGGCCTGAGTGACCAATGGCCCCAGCCTCAGGACACGGATCCCTGGGGGCGAAACGCCCTCCCAGCGGGGCAGGACGCCACAACGGCAGGCCTTTTGTCTCCCCGGGGAAAGAGCGTCTCTGGCGCTGGCTGGATCCGAGGTACAATAAAGTAACCCAGCCCTGGAGCTCGCCGCCTGCCCTCTCCCTGCAGTGGGGTCAGCTGCGTCTTGGCCTGGGGGGCTCTCTGCAGCTGGCCCCGGTGCCCTCCCTTCCCCTTCCCTCTCCTCACCTGTGACCTTTGCCCCTCTCAGCAAGTGACAGACTGCTTTTCCTAGCATTAGGGGGTTACCAGACTTTGGGGGAGCTTCCTGGGAATGGGGACCCTGCTCAAAAAAACTTGTTGAACTCAAGTTCTCAGAACTGAACAGGGGGAAGCCAAGTAGCTTTAATATTGGAAAAGGGGTCACCAGGGTGCTTTGCTTAGTGGGCTGCCTGAGTTATAGGGACCTCCCCCAGGAGAGAGGGGGGGGGAGGAGAGGGCTTGCAGCCCTAATGTGTATTGGAGAGGATGGGAACCTTCCTGGGGGGCCGTTGCGTGTCTTGCCTTTAAAGGTGGATACATGCGTTTACTTACGTAGAGCACATATGCACCTGCGTATGTACATACATGTGCATGTATATGAAATACCCGTCCAGAGCACATCCCACATTCACACTTCCACCCACCCATCACCCACACCCCGACTTTCCTGGAGGGAGGAGGGGGAAAGAGGAGGCACCTGCTCTTTGTGGAATGGACCTGAGTGCTTGTGGGTGGGCAGGGCTTCTGCAGGGGTGTGTCAGGGGCAGATGGGGTTACCCAGGTCTGTTTGGGGTCAGTCCCAGTCAGTGTGGGTTTCAAGGACAGAGTCTGTTTGTGTTTCTGTTCTGGGTCACACCCAGGTAGCCTCTGCCCGGGTCTCACAGCAGGGTGTGAGCGTGTGTTTTGACCAAATCATCTCCAGGAAGGGCCTCCAGCCCTCTTCGCTGAGCTGACTCTGCCAGCTGAGCTGACTCTGCCACCGCGGGCCCCCTGTCTCTCCCAAGCCGAGAGGGGTGAGCACCCCTCAGGTCCCCTGGTGCAGGACCAACGCTGAGGACCCTGGGAACTCCTGTGCCAGGGGCCACCTTGCTCTTGGGGTGACCCCTCTTCTCCTGCAGAAGACACTCTGGCAGGTCCAATGGCCACCCAGGCCAGGGGCCAGGCTCCCGGGACCCAGGGACCCAGCGCTGGCCGCTCAGCCCTGCGTTTGGCAGCCTGGGATTCCGCAGGGGGAGGAAGCGGGGTTGTCTGTCGGAATGAGCGTGGCGGTTCTCGCCTGTTGGAGACCAATTTCACAAATGATTTTTGCAACAATTAAGAAGTGTGGCGGGTGAAATGGCGATTCCACATCCCGCAGGGGAAAGGGGGGTTCACCTGGGGACTGGGTCCTGCAGCCGGGCTGGGGAGGCGCTGCCCTCACTCCATTGTCCCTTGCTAACCCTCTTGCCCCAATTCTCCCCCCCCCCCCACAGCCATGAATCGGCTCCAGGGCCTCCCATTGCCCTGGGGGGCTCCGAGGGGCTTCTGCCTGGATTGTGGCTGGACTTGCCCTTGGAGAGCGACCCTTCAGCCCTTTACGGCTCCTTCCTCCTCCCCTCCCCCTCTCTCTGTCCATCTGTGTCCCTCCCCACCTGCCCTCGCTTTCCCTCTCTGTCTGGGTCACACAACACTTTTCCTTCTCTCTCTCTCTCTCTCTCTCTCTCTCCCCCCCCCCTCAAAGTCTGACTTATGGTCTCCTCCGACTTGGGGCTCCCTTTTCCTCTTTCCTCCTGGTTTTCCTGACTCCTCCCCAGCGACCATCCTCGGTCAGTCTTGGCTGCCGCCGGCCACCCCCATCCCCATGGTCTCCTGAGGTATTTCAGGCCGCCGCGGCTCTGTGGGCTGGACTCCCACCGAATCCCCAGGACGACCCTTTGGTTCAGCTGGGGTGGGGCAGAGACCCCAGGACACGGTCTCCTCTCCGCTCCTCCCTGGACTGCCCAGCCCCCAGCATCACCCCCCCAGTGCTGTCGTTGACACTTCAGGTGTCCCCCACCTTGGGGGACTGCTCTGGACTCTTTCCACACACACCCTTTTTTCTCTTTTTTAAAGAGACAGCACAAACAGAAAGTCTATCTTCCAAGTGTCCAAGTGGAGCCCTGCAACCCGAATAAATGGGAGGGAAGGAGCAGGCCCAGGGCTGGGGGCAGGACCCAGGCTGAGTCCCACTTCTGCCGCTCCCTCCCAGACCCTGGAGTGACTGGAGGCGCGAGCTTCCAGACCAAGCTGGGGCTCCCCCAAGTGGCCAGGGCCTCCACCTCTGCCCAAGGGAGAGGTTACTGCACCCAGACCCCGGTAGTGACCACTTTTTGAAAGCAGTTCCCCCCAAAAAAAATTTTTTTAAGGGGTGATAAACCCACCTTGAGAATCAGGGTTTTGGATTTGACAGGATTTTTGCGTTTTCTGAGGTTCTGGCCAGTTCCTCTCTGCTGGGTGGGACCCGGGCAATGGACAAATGGAGGATTGATTCAGTCTTCAAATGTTTGATGAGGGATTGGGGGACTGGGGGTGGGCAGGGGGGCATGTCCGTGAACAAAGGGCCTCCGCAGGCTCCTGCAAGTCCTCAGGTGCGGATGCCTGGGGGCAGCTGTTGCAGAGGTGCCCGCAGAGGTGCCCCCCAAAGACTCCTTGGCCGGACCTCCCCGTCTTCAGAATTGTCTCATCCCCCCCCCCCCGCCCCCGCCACCAGGAGGGACGACTCTCCAAGAGAAACCTCCAGATACCTGCCCAGACCTGGATGGGGGGGAAAGCGAGAGAGTGGTTTTCTTTCTTGATGTTTTGATTTTCTCCCAAAAAATACAGTGGTGCTCCTGGCCCCGGTCTCAAGGTGCAGAAGGACAGGGCACTAGTCACCTCCTCCCGGGCACTCAGGGGGCCTCAGGTGCCTCCTCCCCTTCTCCCTGCGGTTCCTCCTGCCCTCCCTGCCATTTCCTCTTCCTCTGCCTCCCTCCCCCTCCTCCCTCCTCCTCTCCCTCCCCTCCTCCCTCCCCTCCTCCCTCCTCTCTCCCCTCCTCCCTCCTCCTCTCCCTCCCCTCCTCCCTCCCGCTCCTCCCCCTCCTCCCCTCCCTCCCCCTCCTCCCCCTCCTCTCTCCCCTCCTCCCTCCCCTCCTCCCTCCCCTCCTCCCCCTCCTCCCCCTCCCTCCCCCTCCCCTCCACCCTCCCCCTCCTCCCTCTCCCTCCTCCTGGTGGGTCCCTCCTCCATTTCTCCCCTTTTTCTTCTCCTGAGCCTC